CCCACCCACCCTCTGGTTCCACCTCAGGTAAGCACTGTGAGCACTGCCAGCAGCTTGCACTCATAGATGTATAAAAAGGCTTGTGCTGTTAACACTGTTAGTGCTGTTAGCACCGTATAGCTGTGAGACGAAAATGAGATCACAAACACAAGAATAAGAGTGTAAGCATTAGATTGCATTATTCTGGACTCTACAAGCTTACATTTACATTTGATTCTCAAAAGCTTATATATAAAATCAATATTAGACAGAAAGAATGCCCCACACTGCATAGTCACGCACTGTAACAGAAGTTAAATAGTGGTTAGATAAGGCTGATGTGAGCATCGGTTGAGTTGTTCTCTTCAGTCCAACAGAGGCCATCCGAGGAGTCACTCGTTATTTGTCATATCTTTTTTCGACCTGCACTTCTTTGCCGCCTTTTTCTCCTTAGCTTACGGAAAGCATGCTAGACAATGCTTTGCGAGACGGAGCTGGAAATAAAGATCAAAAAATCGTCAGACTCTATAATTGATCTGTTATACATAAGATAGTAAATACATACATGGGAAGGTAGTGTTGGGTATATCATTATCAAGCAAAACAGATCCATACCAATATAATACTACACCATGTAAAAAGGGATGCTTCATTTGTTCACCTGTCTGCGGACCTTCTTAACTGCTTCTTTATTGCAAGGGCAACTCAAAAGTCCCGTTCTCTCATGAAACAGACAGTCTACATGGAGTTCCACTTCACCGCGCTCCTGCTCTGTCTTCGGCAAAGTGTAGTCTTTCTCAAAAGTGTGATGCATCGCCACCAGGATCACTCTCGGGTTAGGTTGATTACCTTCTGCACAGACATAAAACACAGATCATATTCTGTAGCTATAAAAGACAAAACATAATAGAACATTTTCATGTGCATTTTGGGGTTTCTGCATGTTTACCTGGGGCGTTGGATAACGCTGAGTCAATGTCAGTCTTATAGCGACTGACAATGGGGCAGAAGACAATAATCACGTCGCTCTTCTCGGGTGAGTCCACTACCTTTGCTCCTTTATTGGTGAGTTTTTGTAGAAACGCCTCGTGAGACTTCAGAGTATTTCCGGCTACATATGCGTAAATTCTTGTCATTTTTCCTGAAAACAAAAAAAAGAAATTGACAGAGTCTATCTTATCCTGGAGACACCAAGCCCTTTTTAACTTCTCAAAAGACATACTAAATATAATTTCATCAGCTTGATACTATGATTACTTTCCCTCATTTTATGAGAATAGCTTACAAACATATTTTTCAACTGATGTCATCTGCTACAGAAAAGACTCTAGCTGCAGACTGTGATGTCACATAATGCTCCATATCTGCGACTTGCTACGCAGCTCTACTCGAGTTTGTTCAACAGGTCTAACAGGGAGTGTAAAATACACTGGATGTACTAACTATGCAGGAGAATGTGCAGTACACTTCTTGCCTGTTAATGAGTGAATGCAATTAAACAAAATTTATATTTGTTCATACACTTAATATTAAATAAAACATGAAATATTTCCTTATTTTGTGCAATAACATTTTGTCACCTTAGTGTTACCACTTCAGTACTTTCGTTATTCTTACACATTAGCAGTGGCGTCTGAGAGAGCCCAAACAATGACCAGGTAAAGCCAATGTTAACACACAAGGGTTAACTTCTACTGTCCACATCATCGTCAACTTATTCATTAATTAACCCACAGCGACCTAAAACGTATTTAAACGTTTTTTGTTTTTGTTTTTCACAAAAGGCAACGGAATAAGTAGATCACCACATATTTGACAGGAGCCAATAAATCTGATTCTGATTCTGATATTTGTGAATATCAGAATCAGCGATGAGCGACTTAGCTCCGTAGCATTCACCGTATCTTTAATAATATGAATGTAAAGGCTATATCGAGTCAACGTACTGTTTTAAAATCGAGTTGTTCCGTCTGTGAAGTCGACAGGAAATCCGATCTATCGGCCTTTGAAGCTTTCACTTTCACTTCAGATCAGATGTGAAATACAGATGCATTGCTGCAGTCTGACCGGCAGGTGTCAGTGTTGTGACATTGTTGGGATGTAGTTGCTGTTTGACCTGAACGGCAGCACATGGCCTATATTTAAGTCAGAATTAAAGATTTATATCACAGCAGATATCTAGAGGTGTTATCTTAATTGAAACATAAATGTGTGGTGACGCTCTAATTAGCAGCTCTGACCGACAATCTTCGTTTCACTGTCAGTAGAGCAGCTGCAGTCAAACCTATACTGGTTTATATTCCTGGCTTTAGCATTACATCTGTTCACACCCTCAGTATCTGGACGACTAGACCACTTGACTGCCTACGGTCAGGAGTAAATCATTCATTTGAGTAGTCTCTTTCAAACTGCATTCGCATCATAACACTGGCACACAAACATCACCGTGACTGCATGCAGTTTCTAAAGGGGGTGTAATCTGTATCCGTGGGAGTGATTCTTCACCCATCTGTAGTGTAAAGTTGTCTGGGTCGTCTCTATCTGCACTGAGCGTGTCAGGGCGAGCCGACGCTTCCGACCTCAGGCTTCACTTACCTCTGACAAATGAGCAGCGGTGCTGATGGAGCGGTCAGTGGGCAAACCATGGCCTTTATTCTGCGAGGTCCAGAAGGCAACCAGCAATATTAAAGAAAAGGACATTCAGCTTTCACAGACACTCAGGTTTGTTCTGATTTTGTTTTCCATAAAATCTACATCAATGTCATGTCATAGCAGGCTCCAGTGCAAGACTGCCTGGTTGTAAAACCAACCTTCTTTTCTTCAAAATGCAACATTGCTGAGTTAGGTTATCTCAGTATAAAGGGCTTAAATCTTTCTACAGGGGTAGTGCGTCCTTTCCTATATGATCTATGTTGAAATAAATTGTTTCTCATTGTTCCTCTGTCGCAGTACATCAGTCTGAAAAGGATGCCACTCTATTCTGTAATAACCTAAAACAAGACTTATGTTCTGTAAATTAAACTAAGGTTAAGCTGCTTTCAGCAACACCGATAAAAAAAAATAAAAAGAAACAAGCGACAGAAACAAGCCGCACACTCAGCAGAGGTGATTATAACATTTAATCACTGAGCCCTATCGCCAAGCTTTGCAGGCTTCTCGCCCCAAGGTTTGATTTACCCGCCCTCTTCCTGGGGAAAAATCTCATTCACTAGACGGATTGCTGAGCGGGCCTCTGCGACCGGCCCCGATAAATCATTCTTTAATCAGAGGCCTCTGAGATTGGGCGCAGACACCCGCGGGAGCACCGCTGTGACACCTCAACTCCTCCCTGCAGCGTCTCTGCAGTCCGGGGAGTTGTTACCCTCTTCTTGTTTCCTCCTCGGCCTTGTCTGCATTTGTATCAGTCACGAGGAAACTAAGAGGGATGATCAGCCCTGCACTCTGGGCTCTCAACAGCACCCCAAACACGTCCTCGTCAAGGAGGGCAGCGATTCTACAGGAGACCTGGGACGAGATCACTGGTTTGAGGCTGCAAGAGAATCAGGAGCTGGATTACTGACCGGGCAAAGAGGGAAACACAGAGTGGCAGGAACAGGGGGTTAATAGGGGCCCATTTGTTTTGCACCAGGGTCCCCCAGGCAGGTTAATCCGGCCATGCTCTGGTTTCCAAAATGGGGGGGCTCCAAGAAACTCCATTTCTGTTGCTATATGACTTAATAAATCCCTAGATGGTGCACAACTCTGGTTAGAGTTTTTTTTCTTGTTATCTGCAAACTCAAGACAGACAACAACAAGATGAACAGGAAAGTAGGATGTTGATGAAACAAAACCTTCATCACAGGAAGTTCATCTGTGGGCCGCTGACATGAAAACATTTGGGCACACTTGTCTTGTCGTTGTTTGTTATTGTCACCGGAAGATCATGTTGAGGATCTAGAGTTTTCTCTCACGCCATGAGTGGGAATCAAGTGGAAATACGTTTGGTTTTTATGATGAAATGTCAGACAATAGTGAAAAATGTCATGGTTGGTCCAATTATTTGTCAAAAAATCTAAAATATTCAGTTTACTTTTATGAAATACGACTACAGAAATTAAGGAAATATCATTTGAAGATTAAACATGTGAATTTCTGGGCATTTCCAAAATAAATGGAGATTACTTGTCGCTTGACTTTTTGTTTAGGCGCAACAACATATCAATAATGACTCAATTTTAGCCGATAGTCGAGTATCAACAACCCGAGTGCTATTCTGAGGTGCACGGTTTATTTTTGAAGCAGCAGTGAAGCAGCAATCTCACCATTCCTCTATTATCGTGGGAATTCTGGAACTTTTGATCAAATTTCATGATCTTCATCAGCAGATGGAGTTCACCCAGTTGTTGACTTGTAGATGTTGAATTATTGATGTTCAAGATTGCTTTTCTTTTTTTTTCGGGACAGATTTCAAGCTGAGAAATACTGGCTCAAGTAAAACTCAACTGACAGCTTGAACATAAGCTTTGTGGACAAACCCTGAAGTAAAACCACAACTTAGTGCAATATCTTGAAATGAAACACATAAACAGAAAAGAGGAAACTACACTGAATGACCCTCTGGGTGGTTACGGTCATGCAAGTATTCAGCTATAAATGTTTATGGTTGTGTTTCATCCTGACGTTTTGAGTTCTCACGTGCTGTTTGGTGTGAATGTGTGAACCAATCCTTCGATAAAATGTCACAACACTGATGTGTTCATCCTTGTCACCTGCATCAGCCACATTTAAACTTATTCAAATTGTACGCTGAATCTCATCTTGATGGAAAAACATTCACATATAGTGATGCATTTATTTGGCAGATCATATACTAAGCCTGCATGTGTACTATGCAGCAGCTATATCCTGTGATCCTGTAACCCACATGATGGAAAGCGAGTACAGTCGGATGAATGAGGAAGGAGCTGAATACTTCTTCTTTTTTTGTTGAATGCAAAGATGCTGTGACGTCACCGTGTTGAATTATTCTTGTGTCGGTTTGGAGCTGTCAGACCCAGAGAGCGCATTCCTGCTGCTTCTTACTTGTGCGTGGTGACCATGGAGTCGTCCATGAGTTTTACAGCAGGATGTCATTTCCAAAGTCAGTGCGCAACGAAGGATGCCGTTCAATTAACGAACTGAAGAGATGGGACGCCGACGGATTGTGTGAATATGTGCTCCGCGATGAAGTGGCGCAAGTGGTGACTGCCAACTGACAAGACGCAGAAGTTGTCTTATTTGTTTTTCTTCTGCTCTGGAGACAGTGGACACTTCAGCCACTTTTAACGACTTCAACAATCAGAAAGGACGGAACGCAAAATCTATTAGAAAACCATGCACTGTTCATATCCATGGAGAGATGGCATGCGTGCTCCTCTTCAGTCGAATCCTTCCCTTCTCACACCGGCTCACAAGAACATCCATTTGCTTATTGTCGCTTTTCCTGTCTTATGTGTGCTACTGTGCGCTATTCCCTGCCGATACCGCCATGCAAAAGCCAGGTGATCCGACGCCCAGCTGTCAGCGCGTCCTGGCCGATGGAGCCAAAAGGCGCATTCAGAAATCACCGTCGTCCTGCGTTTTGCCGTTGGACGCGAGACCGAGCAGCGATGAGGCATCTCGGCCGAAAACCGACCAAAGACCCCCCTCGACTCTCCACGTCGACACGCCCAGTCCTCCAATGGGCAACTTAAAGTTCGGCAATAAAAAGTTACCGAACGCCATCATAGTCGGTGTGAAAAAAGGAGGCACCAGAGCGGTTTTGGAGTTCATAAGGATCCATCCGGACGTGCGAGCGGCCGGCACCGAGACGCACTTCTTCGACAGGAACTATGACAGAGGCCTGGAGTGGTACAGGTAAGAGCATGACTCACTTGCACAGGTGTATATCTGTAATCAAATTAGATGACCTGCAAATGGCACCACGAGTACAGTTATAATGTGCCAGGAAATCAGAGATGAATTGTACACGTTTCTACTCTTGGACAGTTAAAACTGAATTACACCAGAAACTGTTTTGCAGTTTTGTAAAAGGGATGAGTAATTATTAGCTTTAATTAGTAAAGGTGTAGCCTTTTTCATTTGGCCGGGGCCTCTGGGAGTCTCTGGACATTTGACTGTGCTTGTATTCCATAAATCCATAGATCTGCTTTTCTTCAGCCTAACTGAATGATATAAAATACTGCCAAATGACCATGAAGATGACGATATTTGGCCAATACAGATGTCTAATTTAATCCCAAATTGCTTTAAATGGAATTTAAAGGGAGTTCATTGTAGTTCGTATCTATGGTATGTTTTTTGTCTTCTTTCAAAATGAAAGAAGTCTTTATGAGCCCGTCTATTCCTGAGGGGGTTCCCTGACAAACACTTCAAGTAATTCAAACACAAGCAAAAGCTGAGACAAATGGTGGCCTCTGCCTTCTGCCAGTTCCAGTACTGCAAGTGAAAAATCACATTAAATCAGCTGCTTACTGTCAAATATGCGATTTGTCCCCCTCCCTCCCCTTGGTGCCACTCTGTGTACATTATCTTTGGAGGTGGATAAACAACCTGGGTTTTGGTTTTTTTTCCTCTGCAGTCTCACAACTCATTTCACCTTCTTATTGCAGGAAACTTTGGAGGCCCGAGCTCTGTTTACATCGGCAGAAAAGTGGCCCTCTTGTTTTGATGTACCGTAGAGCAATTCATCAGATTTCTCATAAAATCCAACCTCTCGAGGCAAACAGCATAAGCTGCAGCATGCCGGCCTGCTGTCGCTGGCAGGCCTCTGAGCTATTGGCTTGTTTGTATGTGGCAATTAAATTAATCTCAAAATGAACATCAAAGTAAAGGATTTGTTTCTAAAGTGCCACGTGAAGCATCTTTTACTCTGTGCAACTCACGAAGACAGTTTCAACACATGAAACGTCCACGTCGTATATTTAAACTCTTTGTTTACAGATTTAGATCAGAAATATTCTGGTTTAGTCGTGAAATATCCTGCACACATGCAGACAACCAATCACACTCACTCATGCTGATGATTGGCTGTCATGCAGCCTACAGAAGGGATGTGTATCAGTAGTATCAGAGTACAATTATAAACTGAAAATATCCCCACTAATTGGCACTTTTCAGGGCGGTTTGCGGCTGAAGCCCTTTTTTATCTCAGAGATGTGTCTCGGAGATGTGAACCCTCGTCTATTACCGCAGTTTGATTGTCAGCTGTCAAAGCTGGTGAGAAAAGGTCAAATGCCAACCCACTGACTTTTGAGGATTGCTTTGAAAACAAACAGTTGCTTCTCAGGAAACATTCCGACTCTTATCAATGAAGCCCAAACTATTGTTTTGAATAGTTGCAGTCTCATTCTCAATATGCAAATGAGTAGAAATGCAAAAAATGAGTCAGAGTTAGCAGTGAAGGCTGGAGTGGGCATTCACACTCTAGTGGAGAACAAAAAAAAAAAAAAAAAAAAAAAAAAAACATTATTTCACAGGTTGTTTTGGGTGCAACAAACCTTCCAAGAATGCTCCAGTACTCATTTCTCCTCTGTTTCAACCAACTTCATACTGTGGTACATTGTTGTACCAGTTACATCGGCAACTGCCGTGGTTGGAGTTCAGGTAGCAGCAGAGGCAGAGACATTATTAAAAAAAAAAAAGCCTTTGAAACTGAGAGTCTAAGATGAAGGCAGCTAACAACACATGGGAAGCAGGCAAACAAAACACCACACAGCAACAGACGATACCAATGAAGAACCGACAAAAAGGGGAGCGCAGAGACTAAATACACAAGAAAAGGAGGGAGCTAACGAGGGACAGGTGACAGCAGGGCTGACGAGCAGCAGGTGAAGCTCATTAGGGGTGGGGCCGACAATCCCACAGGCGGGAAACGGACGAGACGAGACACAAGAGTAGAAGACTTTCAAACCAAAACAGGAAACAAACTGTAACGAAAACCCCTAGGACTGTGACACCAGCTAGTTAAGATGCATCGCTCGTGTGTAGTTGTCAGTCATCATTCAAATTCACTAGTTAAAGCCACTGTGTGTAGGATCACAACATTTCTGAAATGTTGCCCCTTAGTGGGAGTATTGGTGCAACACAGACCACACCAATGTTTTTCTTGTTTTTCTTCAAAACAAAAACCATCAGAATCATTTGGAAGATGCTATAAGAGCAGGAGCTTTAGTTTACAGGTAGAGCGATTAGCTGATTAATCAATTAGTCAATCGAATGAATCAACAAGTATTTGGGTAATTAATTAAGTAATTTTAAGTACAAAAGCCAAACATTCTCATGTTTAAGGTTCTGAAATGTGAACATTTGTCTTAACATGATAGTAAATTAAATATATTTAGGTTTCTGCTCCACCCAAACAAGAGACAACAACCTTCCTGTATTATAGACCAAATTATATATTGCTTGATGAAGGAAATACTTGGCAGATTAATCTCTATTGACAGACTCTTTTTAAACTCTGTCCTTGGTCTTTCGTGGTTTCCAATCAAACTTCAAACTTTGACTCTGAAGGCATACCTGATCAATTAATTTCTTTCAAAAACAACACTGGCCTAGTTTCCAGACCCAGAAGCAACCTACCAGAGTCACTCTGCCATGTGTGTTCTGTTTGCATTCACAGTGATTTATTACTCCTGAGCCATGCTGGGCTGACGCACAGGAGAGCCGTCTGCGAGACAAGTCTCCTGTGACAACAGACCACTATGAATCTGCGTCCTATTATCATTTACATCGAGAAACTGGGTTCACGTCCAAACTGGAGCTTCTCAGTTATCGAGGGGTTTTGTGCCTTTGAAAACTCACTTTTGTAATCCTGCCCTAAATACACATCCAATACACGCGTTTTCCTTTTGACGGAGTGAATGCAAGGACGCAGTGTCCTCTCTCTCTCTGAATCTGTTAGTCTTTGTACTAATGGGAGAAATTCAAACCAGCAAGAAAATCACATAAGAATACACTGAAAGAAATGTGAATGTAAATGAGAAACCGCTCTCTGACTGGAAATTTTTACTTTGTGTTTCTTTCATTCAGAGGTTTAATGCCAAGGACTCTCGAAAGCCAACTCACGATGGAGAAGACACCAAGCTACTTTGTGACAAAAGAGACGCCGCACCGGATCTCCGCCATGTCCCGAGATACCAAGCTCATTGTGGTGGTGCGTGACCCCGTCACTCGTGCAATATCTGATTACACTCAGACTTTATCCAAAACCCCCGACCTACCGAGCTTCCAGGATCTGGCCTTTAGAAACCAGAGCCTGGGCATTGTGGACACGTCCTGGAACGCCATTCGGATCGGCCTGTACGCTCTGCACCTTGAAAACTGGCTCCGCTACTTCCCTCTGGCTCAGATCCACTTCGTGAGCGGGGAGCGTCTTATCACGGACCCGGCAGGGGAGTTGGCTCGGGTGCAAGACTTCCTTGGTCTAAAGCGCATTGTCACAGACAAACACTTCTATTTCAACCGCACCAAGGGCTTCCCCTGCCTTAAGAAGCCGGAGAGCAGCGGCTCGCCTCGCTGCCTGGGCAAGTCCAAGGGCAGAACTCATGTGCAGATAGACAGAGACGCTATTGAGCAACTGCGAGACTTCTATAGACCTTACAATGTCAAGTTTTATGAAATGGTGGGTCACGATTTCAAGTGGGAGTAGAGGTTTGAGAGATATTTCTAAATGGCACAAGAAAGATTAATGTATTCCACAAAACTAAAGATGGTTTGCCTGCATTAATATGACATGGTTAAGCCGGATAGCTAACTATCAATTTTTGGGTGAAACTGCAAAAAGCGGCATTATTTTTTTTTAAGTGACGCTAATGAACATAGCTAAATCTAAGATGACATTGCTTATGCGCTGGTAATGATCAGCCAGCATCGGCATCCTGTTTGTTGCCGGATACAGACATCATTTCAGCCTCAGGATCACATGAATTCTTTTTCCTGTGTGCTATTGCTGACTAGATTCCCCATTTGCTGACTGTTTATTTGAAAAAAAAAGGGAAATTCCAGGGAATGGGATTAGTTCCTCTTAAAACCTGCTTCACTAATCACGGCAGGGCTCGAAAGCAAGACCTTGGAAAATGTCAGTGAAGTCTTCAGGGAGAGCAGAATTAAGCTGCAGCACTGTGGTGGTAAATCTGAAATGTAAAGCCATAACACAAGTGTGAACCACCTAATATCACATACTGTTGGTCTCATCAGTTTCTATACAGGGTGGGAGATTTTCTGTGTCCTTCTTTCCAGCATGCATCGGGTAAGTTAGTAGATGCCGTAACATGCAGCACTTCACTTTGTTCTCTGTGCTTTCTTTGCAAAAACAAAACATGTTTATATATTTTTTACAAAGCTATTTAATCGGTACCTTTGCCACAATGCTTCTCCGTGAACTTCATTGAATGAAACAGAAGCACAAACACATTTTTTTATTTTGTCTTATCTGAAACTATGACCTTGATGTTGAATCCCTTGTTCCGTCCTTGAATGAGAACCTCTTGGAAAATGGTGGATTGTGTACTATACCTCCCTTTTCATGTCTAGTCTGTAGAATTATTGTTTCCAGCAGATTAGACCGCTGACAGCTCTTACATCCGTCGCCGGCGTTGCTTCTGAAAACGCACCCTTTGAGGTTTATTTGCATTCTGTAAGGTTCGTTGTGTGCCTCGGCATAGGTGGATGAGTGGGCGTATAGGTGTAAGGAATATCAACCACTTTTCAAAGACAAAGCAGGGAACATCTAGTCGTGGCAGGTTATCAAATAGAATCTGGGACTGCATGTCACGTGATTGCATTGAAAAGTTTGGATTTGGCTATACACTGTCTGAGTTGGAGCCAGACTGATACAATACTGTAAACACAAATGGGAAAATCACTTTGTGATGCACAAACAGGGACATAGGAGATTGTCTTGTTGTTTCAAGCAGTGCGTCGTAAATGATTTCGGAACTCAATTTCCACATCACACATCGTGGTGGTACAGGCAACGCTTCAGATTGCACTTTAAATTGATGCTTGAAATTAAAGTGTTATTATTTACTATACAGGGCACCACTCTTTTACCGTAGGTAAAAGAGGAAATGTTAATAGTTTAGCCTGTGAGCAGAATGCTAAACTATTAGCAACATTTGCTCACAGCCCGGTCTCACTCCCAACCCGCTGGGTCAGTGCCAGTGCAGCTTACTGTATGGTATGAAGTCCATGCACATGCACTAGTTCTAGGTCCGTTCTGAATGTACATTTTTGACCTAATTATTCCCTCTGCTTTTTCCCTATTACATAATCAGTAAGTATTTCAGCAATGATTATATCAGTATCATTAGATTTTAAGCAGATAGTGGCAGAGCATACAGCCTGAGAGGGTTCACTATAAGTACAGACATACAAAACAGCAGAAACTTACTCAGCATTTTGTCTTTCAATATCACAAGTAATGGACGTTGGAACATTGAACTCTGAGAATGTGTTTCCTTAATAATAATGATTTCGCTCCCAATGAAATGCAGGACATGATGGTCCTCTGTGTTATCTACATACCTCAGAAGTCTAGTGCTTGTATCTGTTTGGACAGTACTTCATCTGAAGCACCATTGAAATTCGTGTGTAACACTTTGAAGATTTCTTGGTGTTTGACACCCAAATAAAGAGGAGCTTGGGAAGCCTAAAATCTGCTCTTGTTTTCACTCCGCTGTACGTTCACACTCTCTCCTCGTTCTTTGCATCATTTGCTCACATTGTTAAGAGAAAGATCATGCTCCATTCTCTGTGACTCTCGCTCAGCCCAGACGCCTGCCTTTTCTCTCTCTCCTCACAGCTTCTCTTTCACCCGCCGTGTCTCTCTCTCCCTCTCCGAGCATTCATTAAACTCCCACGACCTCCAGGTGGGGCATATCGGCACTGTGGCTGCACCGCCGCTGATGCCCCTTCTTTTTCATCATACTCGCCGGCAGCTCATTTCTGTGGCTTTTCTGAGCACACACAGGTGAGCGCGTATCCAGTCGTCACTGAGAGCTGCAGCTCTCTATATCGTACACATGGGTCCTAATTAGGCCTGAGGGCTGGAGAGGAGCAATCCCCTAGAACAAGCACCAGCCAGAGTCTGATTAGACTCTGCTATGTGAGCAGCTCTCCAGAGATTGTGTGCAGGTCAAAACTCTCTCTCTCTCTCTCTCTCTATCTCTTGCTCTCTCTCTCGCTCTCTCTCTCTCTCTCTCTCTCTTGCTCTATCTCTCACTCTATCTCTCTCTCTCTCTCTCGCTCTCGCTCTCTCTCTCGCTCTATCTCTCGCTCTATCTCTCGCTCTCTCTCTCTCTCTCTCTCGCTCTCTCTCTCTCTCTCTCGTGCTCTCTCGCTCTCTCTCGCTCTCTCGCTCTCGCTCTCTCTCTCTCTCTCACTCTCTCTCTCTCTCTCTCTCTCTCTCACTCTCTCTCTCTCTCGCTCTCACTCTCTCTCTCTCGTGCTCTCTCGCTCTCTCTCGCGCTCACTCTCTCTCACTCTCTCTCGCTCTCTCTCACTCTCTCTCTCTCTCTTTCTCTCTCTCTCTCTCTCTCTCACACACACAAACTCAGCTTTATTTTCAAATATGAACTCCCTCAGGAACCAGCCAATGCAAATCACAAAAGCCTTTGCATTTTGAAGCACTACAAAGTGACCTATTTGCACTTCAGCTAATTAGCTGTTTGTTCGGCTTAATGAGTATTTGTTAAAACTGATGTTTTTTCTTTGCTGATATTAAACAATATGACTTTATCAGCCATTTCCTTAATATGTTATGTTTCATGTTTTGAACATTTGGATTTTTGGTATATTGAGATTCATGTCAGAACTAGTTATTACTAAGACTTCAAGGACAAGAGCATCTTCCACCGAGTTTTACAAAGAGGCTTAGAGCTCTCTTGATAATACTATTTGAACATCGTGATCTGCTCTTGATTAATGCTTAAAGCAGCAATATGGTTTTTGTACTGGTTGGGTGAAAATCAAAATAGAAAAGGTATTCTCTCCAAAGCACCAAAAAAATACAAAATTCAAGCACAGTGGCTGAAGACAGACTTTATATATTCAAATGTCACACTGATGATCCTCATACACATCCATCATGGACATAATGCAGTTCATCTGCAGAATTCTCGCTGGTTAATGTAGCTTCAAACATTCACTCTTTTTGGAGTTTTAATGAGCTTAGAAGGGAAATATAAGCAGTTGGAAATAAGCAAAGGAATGTTTCAAAAGAAACCTCTCCGTGAAACGGTAATGTTGCAGTCATTTTCACATTATGATTGTTAACAATGCAATGAAAAAAAATGTTTTGCATGCCTACAGGAAAATGCATTTTACATGCACGCTCTATTTAAGCTGTACCGAATTAAAATAGTATACACATTGGCACAGAATTCCTCGTCCTGTGCCTGGGACGTTCGCACGAGATAGAATGAGGTTCCCTGGTATCCGAGTGAGACAGCAGCTGACACTGCAGAGGCAGAGATTCAGCAGTGAACCTTGCTCAGTCCTAATGCTTCAGAATAGTTTAACTTCTGCAGCCGACAGGATGTCCCAGTGGTCCAAATCACCAGTGGCTTAGTAGCCAAATTAAAATGAAGCGCTGACAACTGTGGCACAGTCGCAAGTATACGTAATGATACATGTTCAACTATTTGCAGACCAATGTTGGAACTGCAGTCTGTGGGGGTGACGCTTAATAAGCTTCTGCATGTGCTCTATCAAGCTCATGGAGGAAAGGGAAGTGAAGAAGTGAAGTGTTTCAAGTCGAATGTAATTGTAGATGTAGGCCATTTGATGACACAATGTCACGGGGTCAGTCTAAAAGAAGCTTTTTTTTTGCATTTACACTTACATTTACAGCCACCCCTTTGTAAGTCGTCTCCAGCTGAGACTGAGAGGACTTTGACAGATATGTGAGATTTCATTGGGCGCGCGCCCTTTCAAGATTGACATCTGGGAAATTCTGCAAAGTCCTCCAAATTGGAAACAGTCGTTCAGTGCCGTCTCCTCGTTGTTGCATCCGTTTTGTCAGACGCGAGTCTGTGTTGTTGTGGAAGCAGCAAAAGTGAGGTAGAAAAGCTGATTAGATTGGAGGAGCAGTCAGACCTCAGCGTCTCTCTCACCAGGAGATGTGTTCTAATTAGAGAGCGTGCCTCGTGTCTCACTGAGGAGAATAACAAGCCTCATCCCGGGGCTGCATCCAGATGAACCTCGCATCCACGGCAAACCGACGCACATCTGACGCATCAGCACGACCTGGACTCCACACCGCACCTGAGTCGACATGCGGGTGCATTAGGAGTTTGATGGAGGTTTACATCAGGCGGCGGCACTCTCGAAGCAGGAGGCCAAGCAAAGCTGGAGCAACAATGAGGGAAGCCATGGTAGAGATGCTCTGCTCTCCTGTTTTTAAGTGCCTTTCAGGTAATGAACACAGATTTCAAAGCCCAATCGTCAGCAAACTGCAAATAATATCAGCAGGGCATTTCGATGCCGCATTCCACTAAGCGAGGTGTGTTTTTTCCAACAACCTGGATGACATTTCGGGGGCTGTGATTATGGGATGATCCTGCATAAGCCGTCTCCAATGTGGAGCTATTTTAAATTGCACGTCAGTCTTGGTTTGTTGTGCAAATGCGTTGACACACATTTTAAAGACTAAATTAGGCTAAGACTAATTGTCTTGTAAAGAAGAATTAAATTTGAAAAGGGGAAGTTTTGTTTGAATTGCTCCCCAAATTTGGGGAGAAAGACTACGTTCAAAACGATCTCTGATCAGAAAAATACTTTGTAATGGATCTAGGGTTGAATTATAAGCATTAGTGATAATATACATGCACAGCAATATATAAATAACATATTAAAGTTGACGGGTCTACAAATATTTATCTTATAACATCGTGCTTGACTGGCCATCTTTACTCATAATCAACCCTGATGAAAATGTCAGATTCATTCAAATAGGAGCTCCATCAACTATTGATATGCCCATTAGTCAATCTAAGATATGAAGGCAATATAAGATCATCTTTCGTACTTTTGGAAATACACCTGCAGCGCTAGCGCTCTCTTTCACAGAAATTTAAATTGTACTCCATCAGACAATAAGTTCTTTGTTGTGCCCGTAGACATCAGTGAACACATGCACACGCTCACACTCGCACAGTGGAGGATGGTCCAACCTCCCCAGGCGGCTTGTCTCAGATTGGATGTCAGATGCTGGAGACAGCTGCACTCATCACAGCTTTTATGAATATATTACCTTTTATGTTCATCCAAACGCTGATTTATCTTCCTCGGAAAATCAAACAGGACAGATATTCACTCACCAGCTTCGGAAACTGTGCGGCGTTCAAGACAAATATCTGCGGCCAAGATAACTGCAAACCTTTAAGCCGGGTGCTAATTCAAACCACACATTTGAGCACGTGTGCAGATGTTTGTGTCGGCTTTTCTTTTTTTTTCTTTTTTTGAGCAGAGATGGTTTATGAAATATCAAAGTGTGTTATTTGCCTCCATGAAACTCCACAACATCAAAGACTCCCCTCCTCTCCCACAAGAACCCAAGAATCCTGGAGTTGTTGTTTTTTTCTACCCGTGCAGCCTTGCCTGTCTCCCATCTCAGCAGTGCTCAAAAGGCAAAAGCGTCTAATGATACAAGATACAAGATGGAGAGACTGCTGCCAACAAAATGGGGAGAAAAAAAAAACCAACATTTTGGGTGATGATTGACATCTCTGCATCTTTTTATTATTCCTGTGATGTTCGTCCAGACACACTGATGCCAGACACTGTGGCCTCACACTTTGGCTGATGCAGCAATCTGGTGATATGAGTCTGTCTGTCTGCCAACCACCTGGCTGGAAGAAGCATAATCAACCTCGCAGTCAATCACTCCTTGCACAGCCAATGGTGTAGGATGAGTGTCAGAGGAAGCGTGGCAGACATGCGCCGGCTGTATGTCCAACTCTGACACTTCACACCTTGCTCTCCGGCATCCTGATGAGTCCTCTTGTATTGGCAAGGCCTTGGGATTCCAGCAACCCACTACAGTGCATTATGTAGGAGAAATGAATGTGCAGCGAGTGGGAGGAATATGGCTGCTGGGTCCCAGGCATTTTACAGGTTAATGTTTTAAGTATATCCTCTGCCTTCTTAAGCAGAAACAGCACTTAGTTGCCTCAAATGTGTAATGAATTAATAAATCAAAGCCCTAAAGTTGTAGCTGTCTTACGAATAAAGCTGCGACTTGGTTGTATTCTGTATGCGGATTCTATTGCATAAATAATAGCTTTGTGACCCCAAATGCTTTCTGAAAGATACTACGAGGACTATTCCTCTAACAGTTCATGGGAGCTGCCTCTGGTCCACAAACAACAGCACAGTCTCATTGGGTGTTAAAGTTGTTTTCAAGGCACCACTCGGGGTTACGTAATTCAGTCGTGGATGTCCCACATGACGCGTCATGTATATTGCATTGCCTAAAGAGCAGCTCTCTCTCCTACTGCACTCAAGGCTCACTAGATATTTCATCTCCAATTAAAAGGGAACGAAAGAACTGCATCACTGGACTCAAGAGAAGAGAAATAATTGACACGCTCGCTCCTGAAACAAGTGAATAATTGAATTTGTTTTTAATTCGGCAGAGAGAGAGAGAGAAAAAAAAAAGTCCCACACCAAGAAGAAATCAAAAGAAATATGAAGACAAATGTGGTCATTTGGTAAATGCACTTTCCTCCAACTCTCAGAGTGGCCAACAAGAGGAAAATGAAAAGTAATGAAAGAAATCAGGAGATCTCGAAGGAAGCAGTTTGTGCTGTTTATGAGATTCTTTTCTGTAGTATTTTAGTTGTTGCTGTGCAAGGTGTCGGTTGCTGGACGTATTGAGGACACTTCAGTGGACAGGGAGGCTCATACACTTTAAAATAACTAGAAATAGCAGATGGACAGCATCAACTGAACCAGAACTGCTGAGTAAGACAAAAAAACAAACAAACAAAAAAGAAAACAGCTGCTGTCTGAAACATACTTCTAGATTGGTAGTTTACGATCTCGCAATTAATAAAACTGTTAATATTATCTTGGATAATATCTTGCTTCCAATGCTAATAAATGTTGTCTGCTGAATTGTTTTCAGTAATGAAACAGTGTGAATTGCCGTTCATTTAATGCTAGTTCACTTTTGTTGAGCAGAGGCCACTTTGGCATACAAGTGACCCTTTGCTAAGCCCCGCCCCCGCTGCAACTCCCTCAAGCTGTCAGAGCAGCCATGGAGCCCACACTGTCACTAATGGCACTCCCTGCATAGTCATTATCAGTGTAGGAGAAGCAGAGAAATGGGTTTGCGGGTGTTGCAAGACTGTAGCAGCAAAACTCCTAGTGCGTTTTCATGCTCATGATTTTTTTATTTATAAGAGAATGAGAATTAATTTATGTTATTTCTTCTTACTTTAAGGTATTGTTGTCATTTGAAAAAAATTGAATTTAAGAAAATGTTTGAATGAAACTGGGTGAATGGCAGCATCTCCTTAAGATTATTTTTGCAATTGTTTAAGGAAAAGCTATAGGAATGATTTAATTGCTTAAAAGGCTCTATTTGCTGTAAAAAAAAAAAAAAAAAAAAGCATGTCAGAATGCTTTCTGATCTATAAATTCCAACATTCCCAGCTCAGCTGCTACCACCACAGTTTTAAAACTCTGTTAGTCGCTCACTCCTTCTTTCTTGTGTTTTCTGTCAGGCTTTTAAAATATTAAAGACGCCTTTGTGTTTTCAAAAGAAACACCACCGTGTAGAAATATCAGAGGGTGGACACGATACCACAAACATCTGTATATGGGTTCACGAGCGCTGCGGCAGCAATTTGTTGAAATTGTATCATGGAGGTTCCACACTGTGTTTTTATTGCATCACAGTATGTAATATAAACATATAGTTTGGGCCGACAAAAAATATGAAATGCACAGTTTGCAGGCATACTTGTGAGGTTCGCAGCGTTGAAGCGTTATTAAACCGTATTAAATTGTATTGTATCACAGTGGTGTTTATGACATTGTGGCCCACTCTGTCTTCACCCCAGTAATCACTGCATCAATCCATCCAAACAGCAAGCAGCGAAAGAGTGAAAGCTAATCACAAAGGTCCTGCTCGTCATCACCTTCTATCCAGGGAGCGTCTCAAAATGGGAGACTTTGCAACAGCAGTATAAGGATTGAATTTGGCCACAGGAGATACCAAGATTGGATTGATCAATAAGATAAGATTGCTTTTTCTCCGACGCATCGGGCACATAGCGCAAGCAAAACATATAAACTAATTCAGCATGATGCATGATGTTCAGGAGTCAAGAGGGGTGATGTCACGGTTTGCGTGTTAAATCCAGATAAAAGTTGCTGAATTCCCCACTGAGGTCTTGCTGATGATGGTTTCTTGGAACTGATACAATTGGCAAATGATTATTGATTGCAGCACTAGAGGAGGCTGGCTCATTTACAGGATGATCTTGCGCCGGGTTGCAGTCAGTGAGTTTTCTAATTACATGCATATTAATCGAACCACTTCACGCTTTTCAGTATACCAGACAACATGTTCATTTCTGATAAGCTTTATGACGCAGAGCCTTCCTGCTGCAATGTGAAGAGAAACGTGTCGCAGCCCCGTCGCACCACAGGCCATTTTTTTTTTTTTTTTTTTTTTTTAAATGTCATCACTTCTCTGCACAAGAGGTGAGAAGTGAAAGGGGTCAAAATCTAATTCCCAAAACTGATGACTGTTATATAAAAGAAAGAATAGAAAGAGAAAGAGGCAGCATTAACTCTTAATATGCCCAGCCTTGGGCCAAACTAATAACAGCACAATTGAATCAGCTCTAAATAAATGATGGTGCTGTAGTTTAATAGCACATCATCTCCCTCACTGACGCGTTTGACGGTACTATATATCTTAGTGATCTCACTAAGTTGGAATTGAAGGGCATTTTTTTGTCTGGGACAAATTCAGCGTGTTGCTTTATTTCCCTCACTCATTATATTTGTGTCTACTGAGGTTTTCGGCAAACACTGAGCTCCACCCAGTGGAGAAAATGAGGATTGTAAAAAAATTAAATTAAAATAAAAACCAGCTCAAAAGCTGTAACCTGTAAATGTAAAACAAATCATACAAAGCTACATGTAAAAAAAAAACAAAAAAAAAACAAGATGTTTTTATTTTGTTGTTTGTCTCGCATCGTTGAATCAATGCCGACACACAATGCTACAAAAAGATAAACACAGTACACGTCAAACATTTTTACATCGCAGAATATGAATGGAAAAATATAACGGTTTAATCGTTCTCATGCATTCGTGAAAATAAATCTTTCCCCGCAGTGTTTAGTTTTATTTATACATTCCCTTTCATTCGGCATAAGTCAGTTTATCAGTGCTGCATGTGTTGGATGTTATAGCACAGTATCAACACACTGTAGCCACCAGGCACTCAAGATAATACTCTGTTTCATTCTGCACCATGAGTCAGAAAGTAAAGTAGTTTGTGGTGAACACTGACATTCAGTAAATCTATAATTCTGATTATGATTTTGATTTGTGTTGGAGTCATGCGCTGTCTTTCACAGTGGAAAATGTACAGCTGATCTGCCATTTTACGTTTTCTGAGATAGGTTTGAGGTTTGATCATACAGTACAAGAACTGAATTAAAAACAATATTAAATAGTAGAGAATATACTGGGCATAAAGCAGAAGACAGCGTGGTTATAAAGGCTGAGTTCAGCATCGTGTCTGGAGCAACCGGTCCACATGTTTTGATTCAGAACTTATGGATTTCTAACATGTTCGCTATGAATCTCAAACGTATGGCAGATGATAAATGAAAGTTAAACCACGACTTGTACACTTGTAAAAACTCTCCCGTTAAAAGGTGCATAAAGGTTGGAAATTGTGAGGGGGAAAAATGTGAGACAAATGAATACAATACAGAAGGATTAATTTGCAAGTGAGTTGATTTACTTTGAGAGGGTGAATGAGCAATACTTATCATTCATACAAAATGTATATTACTTTGAAGAAATGTGCAAACAAAGCTTTAATAAAGGATGCCTTAACATGCTCTCTGATGCCAGCATTTGGAAAAATATACAGTTAGAAATATATACACATCCAAGAGTAGCACGTACTCTACATACTCAGTGTGGGCATCAGCAAGAATCTGCTTGCATAGTTAAGTGCATGCATAAGCAATTTATCATGCAACAACTGTCGTATACTTCATGGATAGGTGATCTCTTCTCTCAGTGCGTTCGGTGTTGTTCTACTCTGCAATGCAAGCTAAAAGATGTGCACGAGCTGTGATGTCACACGTGAAGACAGAAGATGGGGCTGACTCAAGCATACCAATAATGCTCTATGTACACGTATGGTGTTTTTCAACGAAGGTATCCCAGCTGTCTTTGAATATGTGTGTGCGTATAGTGGCTTTTTGTTTTTTTTACATTAAACCCTGTGTTCATTTGAGAGGAATGTTTTGGAGATGTCTGGCAGTCTGAAGAGGCTGATCCCCGTGAGGTTACATGGACAGGTTTAAGTGTTGGCATCAGCAGCTGGAGGGCAGAGGTGGGGACGGGGTGTGAGGTTGTCTTGAGGGGGGGGGGGGGTAACGGGTCATTACTGGTAAATAAAACACAAACATTTAGGAACCATTACAAACCGGACGTCTCCAGACATTTAACACCAACAACACATGCTTCCCTTCCTGCACTCCCCCCCCCCCACGAGTCTTGTTTCTGGCTGCACAAAAGGACTTCTTAAAGGCTGTTGCACGATGACTACATCAAGGAGCATATGTAAACAGCGGTTTCAGGTTAAATAGGCTTAATCGTGTGTCGACTTGTAATTACATTTTCAGTGCTTAATAATAAATATTAAAATTGAATTATAAATTTACCAACAACCTGCAGTTATATGGTTCCGATTAAATACATTGATTATCTGAGGCACTGATGTTTGTTGACATATGGCTCTCAATATTGACAGAGAGCTGTACATGAAGATTTTTGGAAATAATTCAGTGTTTCACTGTATCAGCGTGTCAAACATTGCCAGTAAACTTCCTCTGGTGACCGAGTAGTCCGTGTTTGTTGTATCTCAAAAGTTTCTTTCCACCATTTGATCTGCTTTCTGTCTTGCGCAAAGTCACTTTTATTTTCACCTCCATCTGAGATGTACTCCTCCCAACTATGCTACAGACAGAACAAGGCAATAATTCAATACATGTGCAGTCCATGCGTATTTATAATACAGTATACTATTCCTCAAAATCAATGCAATCCATACAAAGTGCTTCGTTAAAATCCATTCCTAAATAACTATTTAACAATGTGGACAGTAAGTGTACGGTATGGCAGCTGGTATCCAGTAACCACTGAAGAGCTACAGGTGCTTTAAAGATGTTTGTCAGACACCGGGTCTGGTTTGATGGTTAAAACACCTCAGAGCTGCACGAGAGAGATTGTTATCAGGCCTTTTAAAAGAATGTCACTTGGCCCTCTGGCTAGTTTGTGAAGAGCTGATAGGGATCTTCCTGGACGGCATTGTCTTTTTAGCAGGCTCTTTCTTCGAAGGGTCTTTTGCATTGGCAGAGGACTGGGTGGCCGTTTCTGCCCCAGAGAGCTTGGACTTTGTGGAGGGCAGCAGTGAATGCTTAGCTGCAGCGGACGCCTTTGAGGATTCTTTGTCTTTGGCTGTGGTCCCATTAGCCTGGGCCTCTGAAGCCGCACTCTGGGCTTTCTTGCTTGCTCCGTGTGGGATTCCCTCTCTAGACGCGTCCCCAGCACCGTCCTCCGGACTCGCTTTAGCCTCTCCCACCCCTGCTTTCCCACCATCAGCTGACTTCCGCGTCTCTTTGGGCCTCAGAGCAGTTTTGAAGAAGGATAAACCTTTGTCCTCTGTCTTACTGTTACTTCGAGGTCCCCGTAATGGAGGGGCTGCGCTTGAAGAGGAAACACCGACACTCGAAGATCGGAGACTTGCCATGGAGGAGCTACTGCTCGAGCTCCGGCCCGGTGCCCTGTTCTCCACAGCACGGCCCGGCCTGCCCTCTGCTCTACTAGCAGCACTCGACCGGGGAGGCCCTCCGTGGCTGACCTTCTTCTCTGTGACCACGTTATTCCGTGAGGATTCACGGCTAGCGCTCCGGTCTGCTGCTTTAGTCCTCGCTGAGGCTGAGATTTTCTCGCCTCCCCCTCTGGGCGATGTCCTCCTCGGAGGGTGTAAGCTTTGTAATCCTGGAGTACCACTCTTCCTCTGTTGGGCAGAGTCAGGGTGTAGTACCTCCGGGGTTTGGGATGACCCTTTCTTCGAGGGGGTTGCTGTTCTCGAGGAACCAGCCTTGCTAGTTTTAGGTGGTCCATCGCTTTTGTCCTTGGGCGATGACGCTGATGCTGCACTCTTGGTCTGAGTTCGAGACGTTAACTTGTCAATGGCTGGGGATGCAGGAGACAGAGAGCTGGACGATGTTGAGGACGTGGCAGGGCGCTTCTTGGGACTTGCTGAGGTCCTTTTAATGCAAGCGCTATCTGCAGCCCCGTTTCTTTGTTTCGGGTCCTTTGCAGCTGCCCCGTGTCGAGGACTGAGCTGTTCAGCAGCCGTGGCCGCATTGTTGTTGTCCCCAGTCTGGGTGGAGCTCCTCTGCTCTGCCTGAGCCACAGTCTTGGAGTGAACCTGCTCCATCAGCCTCTTACTGCCTGGATTGCTATCCAAAGTCGCAGGGGCCGACTTGCCCCCTGACGCTTTGTCCAGCTTTGGGGACAGCTTGGTATCAACCACCTCTCCTATCCTCTCCAGCGTCGGGGAGGAGGAGTGGGATTCCAGGGAGAAGCGTGAGGGAGAGTTGGAACGGAGTTGGAGCTTAGCAGAGTGGGACCAGGATGGTTTAGTGACATTTTCACTGAGCACCAGCGGGCTGGCAATGGAAGATCTTGAGGAGAATGTTTGTCTTTGCATGCCCCTTACTGCTGGCCGGATCGACAAGCCTGCGTGGTAGAAAGACAAGCATCAATGTAAGATTCTCGAGGAAAACATGTGTCACATCTGAAGCATTGAAAATAATTCAGATTTGGATTAGTCTATATCACCATCATCCTCGCTCCGTTCACCACCAAACTCAGCTGACTCGGAGAGGGAGGCCAGCGACGTGCGTCTGGAGGAACCAGATGAGGCTTGGCTCGGTGGACGGCTGCCCATCAGCCGACTGATCCAGTGCTCACACAAAGAGGAACTGGTGGATCCTAAAGTCCCGAAACAGACAGCGGTTGAACACGTATAATATTGAAACATGAAAAGAAGAGATTGTACAAGCTTATATCAATAACGATTACCTCCCACAGAACTGTTGGCAGACCAAGATGGAATTGTGGCACGTCTCTGATAAAACAAGATGTAACCGGTCTGCTTGCAGACTTCGTCTTCAGATATGGGCTGAACATCACTATCATCGAAGCAATACCACTGTCCATCTATAGAGTTCTTACAGTGAGCTACAAGACACAAGGCAAGTCAATGTTATGAATATCTCGGAAAGAAAATCAGTTAATACAACAACCACAAGCCATTGGTTATTATTCTTAATCTGTATTTGTAGAATAACACAGCATTTCATTATTCTTAGCGGTATATACTTCTTGTCTCTAACTTTTTTGAACTTAACCTGTTACATTTCTTGGTCTTTCCATTGTACATTTGGCGAATAAAGCGCTTCTGATTCAGATTATTGGTTGTTGTTGCTGCTCCATTACCTGTGTAATGTCCTCCCTGCATGGTCCCATGATGGTTACACACTGCGTACAGGTCATACAGGTAGTCCTCCGGGTCACGGCCCATCCCATAAGGCCGCCTCCATGGTGACCAGTGTGAGGGAAGACTCCAGCTGCTCTGGCTCCTCTTCACCATATGGGGCGCCATGTCCATGCCTGTGAGCGGGAACTTCACCATGTTCTGCATCTTCATTCGTCGATCCCCGTCCTAAGGACACATTTATGGAAATCAAGTTGTTCTGTAAGTTTATACGATAGTGTTGCATGGAAACTTTACATGTGTGTAGATGAGATCAAAATGAAGGCAGAATTCAAAGATGGGTGTGGTCCGGGCAAAGGGTGCTTGAAGCAGGGGGTAGGAAGTGGGGGAAGGGGGCCACTGGTCATTTTTTTCACTTTTAGAAATCGGAGCATTTCGGCACCTTTTGTTTTATTAAGACTGTGTAGAAGAGTACCTGTCTAAAGCGTTTCAGGTGCAGTATGAGGATGTCTGGCAGGGTCCACAGGCTGAGCTTGATGCTGCCCTGCTGAAGCTGCTTACAGTGAGGACATCGCCATGCATCATCAGGAGCCAGCTGAAATGAACGTGAAGAAAAATCTGTTATTAAAGAGCAACTAAACTCCAGTTTGTGTTCTTTTTTACCTGTTGACATATGTTTTCTGTATAATAAAGGTCTGACTTGATGCCATTTCTTAAACATTAGGTAAACAATATCATAGAGCAGAAAAGGAAGTGGTGTAAACGTTTAATTGTACTGCCCCAAGCCTGGCATCTTGACATACTACGAGATCAAATGGATAGAAATATAATCCAACAACACATCCCGTACTCACTCAAACCAGCATTTCTAATGAGACTGTCACTTAGTGTGCAGCAACACATCTTCAATTCTAATATGTCTTCAGTATCCGTGATATTCTCAGGACTACGGCAGCCTAACCTTGTCTCCGCCTACCTGTTCCTCTTTGGTGTAGAGTTGAAAGCACTGGGCCAGTGAGCAGGTCTGGGGCTGCAGGTGCTGCTCCTTTGCTTGACGCACACTTTCAGCGTCTGGGATGTATTCATCCTCAGTTCTTTTGAACAGACTGCAGGCATAACACGGCGCAAGTCACCAGAGGGATCACACCGGAACTTCAAAAGACATTTACTACATGCATTTGTGTTATTAAAATGCAGAGCTCTGAGAGGAGACCTCACACATCAGCCCTGAGCTTGATAAAGTGCGTGGGACTGTTGCTTCAGGTCACACTTACTAGTCTTTCGTCTCCTTGTCCCACTCAACGACAATTTTGACATGAGGTGGCCCTCCAGGACCGCAAGACTTGAATGCCCTGTTGAAAATAAGACCGCACATTATAGTTTTTGTTTTTTAGCTGATATTCGTAATTTAGCAGGACAGAATTATTAGAGGCTACACGAGAGTACGTTTTTAATTTAAGACTGCCACCACAAGCCAGCACTATCTATGACTCTAGGAGCACATATCTGAAAGACTGCACATTGGACTCTAGATAGTCTTCATAGACATGGGGATCTGAAAGCTACTGACAAACAAGCTTAACATTAAGGCAAACTTTAACTTAAGGGAGGTTGATGATTTCTTTTCTGCTCCTTTGTTTGTTTGTTTGTTTTTTTTCATGTGGCAGCAGAGAGAGAAAACAATCCATGCAAAAACAACAGAGCTCAAGACATTTTTAGAAGAAAATCTATAAAAACCAGACCAGCTATTACACATCTCAGGAGATATTTTAACATCAATATTCCGCCGAAGAGTCGGCCTACATACTGTGGCTCTTCAATCGACTTCTTGGGGATTTGAACTCACTGCAGGGTTTACATAACGACTATTCAAGTGCGGTAACACGCCCGCCCCTGGTGGTCGACAAGTGACATTACCTCTCCACGGAGGGATGGCAGAGCGGCTGCTCCTCCTGAGGCAAGAGATACGTGATTCCAACCACTCCTACCACACGCAAAGTGAAGGGCCCTACCTACAGACCGTCAAAGATGAGACATTGAAAACGTGACACACAGACGGAAAGGTAATTCACATCAAAGAGTGTGTAATGAGTGGGTACCTGCACAAAGACTCCAGGGCGCAATAGATGCCGCATCTTCTCCAAGATCTCTTTCTGAAGTACGTCCCATGTCACCGTACGCTCCAGATACAGAATGAATGGATTACCGAACCTGCAGGAATTACAAAAAAACAAAAGCTGCATCAGTTTTAAAGATATCTTTTGGATAATAATCCAAACCTCTAGAAGAGTTGTTCAATACCTGCGTCCCTGCTGTCCAGCGCAGGCTCTGTTGGACACTAGCAAGACGATCTTCTCAGCCTGTCCACTGTTCTTATTGGGACTCTGAGGCGGTGTTGCCGGCTCTTGTATTTGTGTGGATATCCGATTATTATCTGTGCCGTACTTTAGGTTGTTATGGTTGAGATTTGCATGCGGGCTCCCTGTAGTAAACACAAAATGTAAAGATACAAAATTCAATGAAAAAATACACAAACGTCGATCCAATTCGCTGGTTAGTGTGCGTAGCAGCTCCCTGACTAAAGCATTTCACCAACATTAGTCCATTTCTTGTCTAATATGGACTCCTACACCAGCATACAAATAGCTGAACTCATTTCTGGGGAACAGACAGGATGTTGTACCGCCACGCTTGGAGCGGATCTGCTCCGGTCTGTAGAGCTCAGGCGTCTCGAAGGCAAAGATGGAGTCACTCTCCTGAATGATCTCAAGGTCGTCGTCGTCGTCACAGAAGGAGCGATGAAAGCCGTCAAAGTACATTTCAGTGAGGACGATCTGAGCAGAGACGGGGAACAAAAGCAGGGATTAACAAGAGGGGGTGTTTCCACACATCAAAAGAGGCTTTTATTTCTGAAATACAAATACTGTATATTGATATTCATAAAGCACTGATGATAAAATAGTTGCACTCCAAGTACAAACTTGAACACCAAATTCTCTAATGGCTCACTGAAAACATTACCCTCCAGTTTCCTCAAAGTAGCACACCCCATCTTTAATCCTCTTAATGTTGATGCCTTAAACGGCTTTAAAAAGAGGAAGTGTCTAATGAGACAGCACCTGTTGGGCAGGGATTTTGGTCTCTGTGGCCACAGCTTGTCTCAGCCTGGACACGGTGCCAGAAAGAGGCACGGCCACCCCGACTCTCATGCAGTGGGAGCATTTTCCTTGGTACACCACTGTCACATACAGGGGCCTGCAACACAGACAGATTGAAATTAATTGGCTGGTTTCATAACCACGGCTGGACTGATGTTTTACAAAGACAGACAGCGTCTTCTAATTTTAACTTTCTCCCGTCGGATCTTTCGCGGTGTTTGTCTCGGCTGGGTTTGACACTTCTTTTTAGTGCCGGGTTCAGACTGGGTCTTGTCTCATTATATTTTGGGATACAGGGACTGTTTTTTTTTTAATAGATATTCTCTCACTAGATGCAGAGTCACCTTACCGTGTGTGAGGTACGGGGATTGGCAGTGAGATGCAGAGGAAAGGATCAAAGGTGTTGCTCTGTTTCTGGCAGTGAGGGCAAGTCAGGGAGGACCTACACAGAGACACGATGAGAATAATTAAATGCAGCTGGCATCATTTTAAAGCAATGGTTCAATGTTCATTTCACTTCATTGGCAAGAGTTGGATAAGATGATTGACACCACTCTCATTTGAGCAGCAGGTTAGCTTAGCTTAGCATCAACTTCCAGTAGGGTGTTCACAATGATCTGTACAGTGTTATGATTGCCGGAAAGATCACAGGAGAGCATAAAGATGTAATATTATTGGTGTATCGCTATAAACGTCAGTGCTTTACACTACTGTAGTTAATAATACAGAAGTTAGACGCAATAACGCACACGCTTCAGGAAAAGGTTACCCTTGACATAGAAGATACAGTATGTTGGGTACTTTGAATGTTCTTCAGTGACTTTCAGATAGTTAATATCATATATTTGAAAGTTTCACCTGTATTGTGCCTGAAACAACTCCTGTACGAAAGAGCCAGGTGCTGGAAGTGGAGATCCTTCAGGGGCATTTTCCTCTTCGACTGGAGGCTGGGGAAACACGATAGACACCCAACAATTATTTGGCAAACCAATACAATATCATGCATGTTATACAACACAGGCAGTTACAAAGTAGTTCAGTTTATAGTATCGCAACATGCAGTTTATTACAATATTGTTCAGATGGGAAACACAAAGGGGCAACGTCCTGTCAAAACATATTCATTTTTCTGATATTCACTCTAACTGGTCTGTTAGCTGAATGTAGAGTTCTCTAAAGTCGACAGCTGAGCTCTAAGTCGCTGTTTACCTTCCTGGGGGGTCTGCTGTCAGGGTGGATGATATGGTTGAGGTCTTCGTGAACTCTATCCAGCAACCAGAGGAGGAACTCCTGGGCATCGTGCTGGGAGTTACCCTTGAACTGCAGGGCGCTCTTGGACACCACATTCTGCAGCAGGACAAACAAAGTACGGTTCAAGTGGACGAGCTGCTCCTAAAAACAGAAATGGTTGCGTTGACATCACTGGCTCATCATAAAATATTCAGCACGTTTGACCAGGGATGTCGATCAGCACAATCCGAAAAGGTCAGCAGAGGTGCGGGTGACGGTGAGACGCAGCCGGCGCGGAGAAGCTTTTTAAAAGCAGGAAACGGGATGAAAATCGACGGCTTAACCTCACCGACAATTTATCCATTGGAGATGACAACAGTGTGTACGCTACAGAGTCACCCAGGCTGGCAGCTATAAAGTCAACCTCTACTGGATACCAAATGTTCAAGCAAGGCCAAAGATATGAGGGGACTGTGCACTGTCTGTCCACCCTGTCCCCTGGGACGTTCTTCCTCACTTTGAAGGTGATTTGTGATCACCAGGGTTTGTGTAGATCGTGCTCCGGGGCGGTTTGGATGGTGCACAACGAGATAATCCTCAAACCAATCCTGGACTCTGAGTCACAGAGGATAATTCCCCCGTGTTATTATTACGGAGGCCTTCCTAATGATCTTTAAGTGCACTCAGTTTAGCCTCATGTTGTGGTCCGAGGGAAAGAAGCGCAAAACCCACACGTGCTGAGCTGTAATCCCCACTAACCACAAACAAATAGCATGTTTAGCTGAAGTTCAACTCGCTGCATTCAAGGTTGTGATGTATAAGTTGGAGAGCAATGTTGTCGACATTTTAAAAGAGAAAAGAAAGATGCTACTGCATGAACATGTAAGGAACTTTTGAAGCTTTTCACGGGATTCTTTGTTTATCACAAAGTAGACACCACAGTTGAGGGATACTCTGACAGTCTGGCTCTGCTCTTCGTTTCCTTACCGAGTTATACAGATTCAAGGCCTCACACTCAGGAGAGAATAATCTATTCTCCAATAAGACAGTTTGTACTTTGGCTGGCAACCAAGGTAGAAAAAAGAAATAGTAAGTGGACAGAAATAGTATCACTGTCAAGAATAAGCAATGCGTTGTATGGCCCTGATCAATTTAGTTCCTCCCATTATGTATTTTTGAACTTTTGAGAGAAGGAAATAGGTTATTAGAGATATAAAAATAAAGAACAAACCTTTGTGATTGTGACAGGCAAACTTTTAAGCGCCGGAATACGAGTTTATGAGGTGAAACGATGAAAAAGCAGACGGGGCGGCAACAACAGCTGAGAAGTGTGGCACACAGACAATAAAGCGGCTCCGAAAACAACGGCTCAGATCTAGGACTCAGCTGATCAAGTGCTAGTCCAGGAACACGGACTTCACCCGTTTCATTAGGATGTGCTCTCCTATGTTAGTTGTAGTCGCAAATAAACTGTAATCAGAGCTGTGCTGGAATATGATTATTGACCAAAGACAGAAACTTGTGTTTTCACATATAAAACAAGTTTGCTTGAGAGGACAGACTCAACACTATACTGCAATGTGAGAGGTGCTGCTATAGAGACTTGTTGACAAGCAAAGCAGTCGCTCAAGGCCAGTGCATAATCACTGCATCTATACACCCTGTCTGTAATTATTCTATTAAATAGACTCACAGTCACATCTGTACCAACCGGTCGGATCAAAAGCAACTGCTGTTACAGATGTCCGCATTGACAGCACAGAAAAGATGTGTTTTTATCACTACTGATTATTCAAAAAGTAGGATTGCACAGCAGAGTTCACCTTAGATGCCTATGACCCCCCGTCATGTATGTAACTCACACGGACGATGTAAGAAAATAACACATTTAAACTGAAGTTATTAACTCTAGAAGATCATATCCTCTCCTGACATCGGCTTGTTTCAAGTTCCACTGTTGAAAGTATGGAAACTTTATTCCAGTCAGAATCTAAATCGTGACAATACTGCTCTATACCCATATATGCACATGGTGTCTCTTCGGCAGCTGTTGTGAGATTAATTAGGCTCCCGGTTAGGAGCCCTGCATGAGGCACAGCCTACCTTGAAGTCCCTGCTGTGCTGAGGCGTGTACTCGAAGGTCCACAGAGCCCGGACCAGACCGGACAGCTGCTCGGTCACCTCCCCGGAGTCCTGCTGCTGCTGCTGGCTCCCCTTCTTCTGCACCAGCACCCCGTTGGACTTGGCCTTGTCGTTGCCGCCGCTGCTGCTCGTCTCCCCGCCTTTAAACTGCTCCAGAGCCAGGTACTCGGCGAAGAGCTCCGTGTTGCTCAGGCACTGCAGGATCGCGTTCATGAAGCACGTGTTGCCGTGGTTCTTCAGTCCGGCGACCCCCGGCACCTTGTCGCCGAAGGGGAACCCCCCGCAGTCGCTGTCGTCAGACTGGAGCGACCCTCCCGTGGTGGTCGGGTTCAGAGAGGCGTCGTCCTTCTCATCCTCGGCGGCCTGCTCGTCGGTACCGAAATGAGAGAGAGTCGACAGAGTCCGGAGAACTCTGTTCATAAAGCTCCCAACGGAGCGGACCGAGCTTCTCCGGAAGAGTTTTTTGCTGAAGGATTTCTTCTCCTTGCTGCTGACAACTTTCGACATGATGGCTGTTTTCGCTCCCACAACCACCGCGCGCTTTTTACGCCTTAAATCCAGAAATGGCCCCTTTTCTTCAAGAGCATCGCCTCATCCCGCGCGCCGTGACAGCTCCTTCACTTTGTGATGTTTAGGCCCGAGCATATTTCACAGAAACACATAAGGCCCGGCAGTTCTTCAGGGGCTGATCGTATCACACGGGGAGACAGCAGAGTAGCATCAGATCAGCCCACTTGCAACACTGCGTCGGATTGCATAAACAGCCTCCGTGGAGAGCCGCTGTCAGGGCGCTTCACGTGAAAGCTCGGGGTAGTCCCGCACCGGCCAGCAGCCATCGTCTCTAGCGCTCGGTCCGGTGACATAACATCACCTGTGTCATTGTTCGGACACACACTCAAAAAAAAAAAAACAAGTCGCCGTGGTCGGGTATCAGTGTCCGCCAGACGTAAACATCAAATCAACCTTTCACAATAAGGCTGAGAGTGGCGAGCGGAATTCCTCATCATTTATTAAAGAAACCCACAGCTCCACCCTTTTAAAAAAAGGCATTTATTCACCTCTGGTCATCGGATCCACCCGCGTTGTTGAAAACCGTCCGGTTGGTGGTATATTTACCCGGTGGATGTCTTCCCTAAAATCGCCTCCACAGTGGGCGCGCTCGCAGGAGCGCTGCCAAACTGAGGAACACCCCGACCGGAGCGGCGCAGCCAGTCACTCCCTCGCGTTTGGCCGCCGTATATCTCTTCGCGGGGGCCAGATGTGAAAGGTTCACGTTTCGGTGTTGTTTTGTTGTTGTTGTCCCCAAATTCTTGTCTCACTCTCCGTGCGCCTTTAATTCCCCCTCCGGGTGGGATTCATGGCGAGGCCGCTTCTCCCGTCTCCATCATCCTCATCATCTGTGGGCACCGATACTGCAGGCAGGGCGGTAACGGCTGACGTCAGGGCCAAACACTGGTCCATGTTGGAGGAGAGCAGGTACAGCGGCATGTGATGTCGGCTGATGCTCCATCCCCGCCTCTGGACGGGATGTACACTTCTGAGCGCCAGATGGATAGAAAGGAGATCACACTATCGTAAAATCTATTTGTAATTAATACAATATTTTTTTTAATATAAATAATTGTTTTCATTGTTAATCATTAATTATCAATCTGCTGATTATAACAATTAACATGTCAGGAAACAGTGAAAAATGTCCATCACTATTAGGTAAAGCCCAAGGTGGCGTCTACAAATTGTTTAGTGCGATTGAAACATATTTAATCTTCACTGAGACAGTAAGGCAGCAACACTGGAAAACACCTGAAATAGGAAATGTTTGGTATTTTTGCCGAAACAAGTTAAATCAATAATCCATCATCAAAACATGTTTCCCTCAATAAACGTGTATTTTCAGCACAAATAATCTTGTAGTCTGACATAGTGAAAAAGCCCATCAAAGTCTCCCAACCAGTCTTATGTTAAGCACTACTTTAAATATAAGATGTTATTAAACTCTTAGAAGCCTCCATGGTGTAACAGTGCTCAGTCTTACCAGTGTGTCACAGTGGAGTCTATTTCTGCATATATTCCCCCGACAGTCGACTGCGATAGACACGCCAGTTTAATGATGCAAGGGTGCAAATACATTCACCATTAGTAAAGAACAAAATGAGGCTAAAATGTGGCACGTGTGACGTATTTAACAGAAAAGGCCATTCATTTATTAAACTAGAATGATTACATTACAAACTCATTCAACCCCCTATTTCACCTCGCTGATTAAAAAATAGTTTGATCAAAAGGGTTTCACATGATTAACACAATAGGCGCCATTGAAGTGTTGATATAAATGTTTTATGTACAGATGTTCATGATTCTGAATATATGAGAGAGAGAGAGAGAGAGAGCTCACCTTTAATTTTGAACTGCTGAATGTGAAGCTCATTTAACCAAAAACAATACAGCTTATATCAGAAATATTACCTTAATATAATTTAATATCATATTAGTATGACAAATAATCGAGTACAGTATATCAGTCATATAGATTTCAAATGCTCTCACACATCCCCTGATGTATTACATTTAGTTAGTTAAAGGCATCCTCACCATCGATCATTCAAAGTCACACTACTTCAACAACAACCAGTATAAAAAAAGTCTGAACCACCCTGATTTCAAACTATTAACAATACCATAAATGCCAGACTTATTTGGACAGGACTATTATCCTAAAATTCTGCAGCCCCACATGTGAGACTTAAGGGACTGTAACATGTTTACCAGCTACTGTTGACGACACATTCTTCTTCATTTTCAAAACATGCCTGCGAGTCCCCAGTGCCGCTCCGAGAGCCACTGTACCTAGACTCCACCTTCCTCTCCACCTTCCTCTCCCCCTTTGCCGTTAGTAGTCGATGCACCGGACGGCAGCGATGGTGGAGGCCAGCCGACGAGGCAGCAGTTTGGAGGTCTGCCTGTAGTCTTCTGGTTTGGCCCTCAGCAGGGTGACGATGTGCTGCAGGGCGCGGGACGGCTGCAGGCCCAGAGCGTCCATCACATTGCTCAGATAGTCTGTGGAGCAGGAACAGGAGTCATCCACAACACATTAAATCCACTGGGAGCCACCATATCATGGAATTAATGAATAACAATGTCGTTGTTTTTTTGCTAAACCATCACAGAGAATTGCTGACTACACGTGTGTCCGGCCGGCGTTCTGGTCGACTGTACCGATATCTGTGGCCAGCTGTTTGGTGGAACGAGTGCTCAGTTGGGGGATGAGCAGGATGGCATCGCAGTAGGTCTGCATGGTGGCCCGAGCAATGGAGCCCAGCCAATAGTCTGCAGTGTTGTCCAGCTCGGGAAGGTCATCGCCTGAGACAGAAGAAGGTGACGTTACCCAAGTGCACAAGGTGTAAAGGGAACAGTGAGTGAGGGGAGTGATTCAGAAAGGTAGACGTCTAGAGGTAGAGCAGAGATGGATGCTAAGCTAACCCTGCTAACGACAATAAAATATCCTTGAACCATTTGTACGGATAACAATTTGACCTCTCGGCTCTTTGGATTTACGGTTGTCGTAAAGAATACTGTAATGTTGTGTCACTTTTTTCACGTTATATGTTACGTTACCCTAAATATCCATTTTACATCTAACTTTCGCTATCTTTCCCTTCTATTAATGTTGAATTGTGCATTTGGTGTATGGACATGTTTTTATAATATATACAATCACAGATATCTGACTAACTGTGTTACATGACAATTCATTCATGTTGTGTAAGCGACACTTTCTCACTTTGTATATTGAGGATCACAGTAAAATCAGTGACTAAGTTTCAGGCTTAAGATATACACAGAAAGGAAAGAAAGGGTGCAGAAATAGGAGGAAGGACACAGAGAAGAAATACATCATGTGGAACATTAGATTGGGAGGACGGTCGATGGCGAGACACCTTGCTCTGGAGGGAAAGGCAGCTTCCCAGCATGGAGGGCCATCTCAAGTGCCGGGTCCTCCTGAGTCACAAATGGCTCCAAGTGGAGCGGCAGAGACATGAGGTACTGCCCGATCTGGACGGGAAGGACAGACTCATCGTTTGAGAAACCACAGTATAAAGCTGTGAATGTGTACAAAAAGACTGCATCTTATGAGGCAAGTTATCCTCTTGTTCTTTTGTCTGCACTGCACATTTGAAATCATCTTAATTATGATTTGGGAATTGTATTAATTGAATATCATGACGTATTAATTCCAGCCAAAGCGGACTAACGTTTGAGATGTATTCTTGCGGTGACAGGCTGAAAGTAGGCAGGTCCTCCGTGTAGCTCTCTCCAAAACCAGGTACCTCTTGTCTCTGCACACAAACACGAAGGAATCAAACAACCACGAGGTGAGATTAGAATAGACGCAGTACGTGCAACGCTCGAATGCACGCGCACGAAAGGCAGTCCAAAAAGCTCTCAGCGATGCACTCAAATCGTGCCAATCAGTATTTCAAAATCAAATCCCGAGGTAACTTGACACTTAATCACCTCCATCTTGGAGACGAGGCAGAGCTGGTGTTTGATTTGCAGGAAGACGGAGTCGAAGGCCAGCTGGTTGGCCTGCTGATTGAGTCTGGCCAGAGCTGCTCTGGGCTCAGTTAGCAGGCTGGAGTTACCTGTGCCCTTCTCCTGCAACGCAACCGCAAACATGCATTAAACACAGCTCCAGAGGAACCTCGCTAATAATCATTCCGACACCTTTCCCTGCGCCGTACCTTCAGGGAGTACAGGACTTCCATCAGGCTGTTGTATTCAGTCATATTCCCCCTCTGAAGGTAGTTGTATTCCTGCCAGGGGTTCCTGGTGGTGCTCCTCCTCTCTGTAGAGCTCGCCTCCTGGATGCCTGCAAGGCTGCGTGGGCTATACGACTCTGACAAGTACTTACCGGCCGTGCCCAGGATCCTATGGGAAGTATTGATTGTGTTAAGAGAGCGCACGTGACTCCTTAGAATCTGACATTGTGCCTTGTTGGCAGGCTGGCCGGCCCATGAGTTACATGTCAACTGGATGAATGGTTTAGGGTAAAACTAGAACATTACGGAATATAAAAGCATAAACACGTCTCTTACTTGTTTGACAGCTGCTGCTCAAAGGCTCCACATTGTCTGAGCAGTTCTCCACAAGTGGCAATAATCCTGCAGAACACAACATAAAACCAGTTATCCATCCATGCATGCATTTCTGCTTATTTTCTGCCAGGTCACGGTGGCAAAAATCTGCAATGAAATTGTCTCAAAATATAAAGATTTAAAAAGGTTGAATTAACCTGACAGAGTTCTGAAAGGCTGTCCAGTCCTCCTGGAAGGCCGATGCACTTGGTGTATCCTCCAGTTTACACTTCTTTCTGATCGACTGCAGCGTTGTGGAGAAGTCCGACACATACCTAGAACAAGGACAATGTTAAAGCTGGCAACAGAAAGTAAGGTCCACACATACCAAAAACGTAAGCACATTATTTCTATTAATTAAGCAAAAGAGTTAATACATAGTATGTGTTTGCAGTGTGTTCAGACAGTTGACAATAAAGGATACTTACTTGGTGAAAAGAGCTTTGAGGGCTTTGAGGAGGCCACACACGGCCAGTCCGTCAGTCAGTTTGACACAGCGGTCCACAGCAGCGCTGGCCAGGCCAAACAACTTGCCAACAGAGTGGCTCAACTCTTCCACACAATCAATAACCTCCCCGTGTTCCTGAAGAGACGAGAGAATGTGGAGACAGGAGGCGACACAAACGCAGAGAGAAAAAAGGAAAACAGTTGTGGCTATGGTCGTTTTAATGAAACTATTATCGTGTGTGTGTGTGTGTGTGTGTGTGTGTCTTACCAAAGGTACAGCACTGATCTGGATGAGGAGGTGAGCTTCCTCCAGATCTCCGTACAGTAGCTGATACGGTTTGTAGGGGTCGTACAGCGCAGAGACCAGCTCATTCACCTTCAGCAGATTATTCTCGCCTGGGGGGGGGGGGGGGGGGCGACACAAGACAGAATGTAAGGACCTAACTCCGCCCACATCTGGAGCAATCTGCAGTCGCGTCTCTGCACAGACCCAGGTGCGGCAACATGGCGGCCTCCAGGCTGTGTCCGAAGGTGGACGTGGTGTGGTGGAGCTCGAGCAGCGTGTCGAGGCGCTGCTCCTGGGCCGCCCGCTCCACGGCCGAGCTCAAGCACACGGGGATGGACGGGACCATGGCCCCCAGGGTCTGGATCAGCAACACTGTCACCACCTCATACGGGTTCTTGAACACCTGGATCAGTGCAGGTGATGTGCAAACAATTAAAAGAGCATTCTCACTGACAGTATTCACAAACATCGCCTCCCTTATTGCTATATGAACAACGTTAACCATAAACATACCCCCCCATGATTTGGTGTTTTACTTTTCTTACTGATCCCTATCCAGCCCTTTCAAAACAGTGTGTTAGCATTGTTGCCTACGGTGTCTACAGTGTGTCTCACCTGGCTGCTCCACTGTAACTGGGAGTGCCACGAGGAGAGCAAGGTGTCGTAGAATTCAGACAGCTGCTGATTCAGACTGAGCTCACTCTGAGAGACGTCCTGCCACATGCTCACCAGCTGGCCCTGGAGATGCCCAAACAGACGTAGAGGAACATTAGAGCATGCCGACACCAAACAATTGTATCAATTCAGTATTAAGGTAAGGGAGAGGCCTGTAGGACCTACCTTGTGACACTTATAGTAGTAGGCAAGGAGCTGTGGCATTCTATCTATCTCTGTGAAGACTGTAACAAACAGCTTGGCTTGGCCTGCGGAGGAAACACGAGGAAACATAAGGGTTCCGAGTTCACACTGAAAGTGAGCTACAGTGGAATAAATAGGAGAAACAAAAAGCCCATCTCACCCATCGACATGGAATTAAAGGTCGCTACTATTTGCGGGCTGGCCAGAGCCTCCAGTCGGTTTTTCAGAGCCTCCAGGTAGACACACTTATCAGAGTAGTCCGGTGTGTCCACCAACATGGCCAGGCTGTTCTGCATGCTGGTCAGCTTGGAGGAAATGACTGCAAAGTCCTGGAAAAGAAAGATAAGATCATTACTTATGAATATTTGAATGGCCATTGCCTTGGTTGTCTTGCACACTTTAAATGAATTGGAACAATGCCTTGAACATTACAATAAATTGAATTAAAAGCTTGAATTCCACTCCCAACAGTCTTATTTATATGACTGTGGGCAGACCAAAGTATAACAAGTAAAGTCCAGCGATCGTGTCTGTCATGTATACCTGTGTTTTGAAGGTCTCCTCGATGTCTGCACTCAGTGTGCTCCACTTGTCAGCCTCCTGCAGAGCTTCAGCCGCCATCTGCATGCGGCTCTTCACCTGATCTATCTCCACCAGGACCTGGTGAATAGGAACCGCACAATTATGCAAGTATGCATAACAATTAAAAGTATGCATATGCTATATACAGTATGTAATAATGGCATCGTGCTTGAACTTGTGCACACCTGCATAGACTGTACGGTGTCTTGCTCAAACTTCCTGATGTCCTCTTTGACCAGAACCATTTGCTCCTTGAGGAAAGAAGCTTCCTGTTTCAAAGACTCCACGTCTCGTAGCACTCGGGGCATATTCTGCAGGGCCTGATTACTGCTCTCTACACACACACACACACACGCGCACAAGTCTTTCAGTTAAAGGACAGAACAAGAAAAGTACAGTTTTCACAACATTATATCATAGTAAGTGCCATTCTAAGAATAAATTACCAGCAGTCACTTAAACAAAAAACAAACGTACTGCTGCACCTTCTACAGATCGGTGGAGAACATACATGTGCAGCCTGAAGACTCCACCCTACACACTGCTGCAAGGCAAAGCGCTCTTAGTTTACTTCCAATACTCACCCTCAATGGAGTTGTTGACTTCCTGGATGAACAGCTGCAGTTTCATGACTAGTGTGGCTGCGTGTGTGTCCGCCTTCCCCGGCGCGTCCTTCTGCACCACCGTGAAGGCGCCGTTCACCCAGTCTTTCACGTCAAATTCATCGTCCAGGAATTTGGAGAAATCCATTTTTTGTTTTTGTTTGCCTCTTCACTCTCTTTCCCCAGCGCGAGGAGCTGGGCGGTGTTCAGTCAAACGCTTGTGCTGCAGTGCAGTCTGTGTCATCGACCCATTGCTAACGTTGGCTAATTTTTCCCAAACAATGGCTTCGAGACGAATATAAAATAAATAGCCCAGGAAAATGAAATTACCATTACAACTAAATATAGTTCCAGCAAGGCGACGGCCTCCTCCAGAGTTATTTTTAAATGTCTACGGCTTTAAACGGAGAAAAGTAAACATATTTCTAAACGTTTTGAGCTGGCAGCGGAACTGACAACTTCCGCTTTGTCCTTTCTATTTACCTTCCCCAGAAACAAGAGCCAACAACACAAACTGACCTACTGAATAAAATGTTGTACCTAAATATCACATTTCGTCAAGGAAATGTGATAGTTTTTGTGGTTTTTAATGAAGTTATATCTTATTTGTTTTAAAACGAAATGAGAAACAGAGAAACACACTAGCGGTCCGCTTGAAGCAGTGCCACAAATAAGTACATCCGTGTAGAAACGTGATTTCGTGTTGGTAATTTTAGGTCTGCAGCGTGAATGTAGGAACTCTGCTTCCCTCTTGAGGCAAACAATAATACAAACCAGGTTAGATTCATGACTTGTGGAGCAAAAAGTGCTTTTATTTCTTATGACTTGTTACAGTAAAAACATAATAGGCGAGCAATTCCCAATGTGCCTCAAGATAGTTTTTTCCTCACTCTAAAGTTTGGGCAACAAGTAAATACTGTACTTAATTATGGAGCTTTTGCGCAGTGTGTTTGGATTCCCGAAAGGAACTTTTGATACATTCAAACTGTTATTAATGCTGCTGAGCATCAACAGAAAATCATCCCTCAGCATAGTTAACAAACACACAATAGTTTATATTTATGTATTTGTAAAATGGCATTTGTCAGGAAGCGATGGGCACACAGCAGAGGTCACTCAATTGGTTAGGGAGCCATTGGAGATGTGCTGTCGCTTTAACTAGTCCTCACTGAGGCCTGTACACCTGTACTTCCACGTCCCAGGCACAGCCAAATTTCCTTTTTGGTTATTTCATATCTCTTGCAGCAGACATTTATCCCTCCACACAATCGGTCTAATGAATATTATGCAAACCAGAAGGGCAGTGAAGGACTACGTGGAAAGTGGAGCTGGAAGGCAGTGAAGCGACAGAAAACACAGCTCAACCAGTTTCTAGCAGCTGTCTGTGAGGGAATACCATTTCAACTGCCCTTCAGCTCATTTAATGAGATGGGAATAATTGGGGATATTAAGGACACGATGTCCAAGGCGGTGTTTAGTCCTTCTACTCTGCTATCCGGCCGAGGCGGGCTGCACATGGCCCAGATCCTTCTGTCTGTGGTCACCTTTCTCCTGGCTGCCTTCAGAGGAGGGAGCAGTCATACCTACTGGATCTACGCCATGTTCACCTGGGCCTTCTGCCCCATCATGACCCTCATCATCACCATTATTGAGATGATGAAGCTCGATGTCATACTCAATTTGTTTTGCTTGGACTGGTCCGACTTCACCACCGGGATGGCCATGTCCTCTACGCTCATGACCGTCTCTGTCGCCATCACTTACGCCAACTTCTATGCCTGCCTGAAATGCCTGTACGGCTGGATAGTGACTATATTTGCTTTCTTGTGTGCCTTTGTCTACACACTTGAGGTGTTGAAGGACAAATTCATGGACAAGAAGAAAGGGAGCTACCTGGCTGCTCTGCCTGGATTCTGGAAGGTTATGGAGGCCTTTGTGAGCTGCATGATTTTTATATCGCTGACTGGCTACAGAGACAAGCCAGCTCTGATCTTGTGCGTTATCGCGTATGCCATTCCTTTCCCCATCCTCCCTTTAATCATAGCCACCAACATCCTCAAGAAACTGAAGAAGTGTTTGCCCTTTAACCTGGACCGGTTTGTGTTTATATTCCTGGTGATCTCTGTTGTGCTGTATATATTTGCTGCCATCGTGTGGCCCATTTTTATGTTCAGGAACAACCCTCGACCCAGTGAATGTCCACCCAGCTTCTGTATCTGGGCCATACAGTTTATGGTTGCATTTATGACATATGTCAATCTCATTCTTTTCACACTGGACCTCATTTTCACCCTGCTTGGTATCTGCGGCTTTAAACGCACATAGTGGTGAAGGTTATTTTGGGTTTTTTTTCAGATGGGACAGATAGACAGGAATAGGGGAGAGAGAGAGAGAGAGAGAGAGAGAGAGAGAGAGAGAGAGAGAGAGAG